CTCTGCAGCATGTGGGATCTTCCCGTACCAGGGCTCGACCACCCCTGTCCCCTACATTGGCAGGCGGATTCTTAACCACTGTGCCACCAGGAAAGTCCCAAGCCTTTTTAATTTTTGAATAGCACAAGTCAAAGCAGTTCTTAGGGTTCCTGGATTTATTTGGTATGATTTCAACAAGTTTTTACTGAACATCTATTATGTGCCAAAAACTGTGCAAGAGAGATAACAGAGCTAAGAAACATAGCAAGTTCTTATAAGTCTAATGGAAAAGACAGATGAGTAAACCAATAATGACAGGGTACAATGGGAACAAAAGAGGCATGGTATCTAAATATACTTTAGGCAGTTGGGGGAAACTTCTAGAAGAACTGACCTGAGCTGAGTATGGACTTGCAGGCAGAAGGAACAATATGATATTGACAAAGCCACGGAGACAAAAGAAAGCATGCTGTGTTCTAGGAACTGCAAATTGTCTTGAATTAATGGAGAGAAGGATGTATGTGAAGTTATAGCAAGGTGAAGCTGGAGAGAGAGGTAGGAGTCATATTTTAAAGTATTTTCTATGTCTTAATAAAGGACCTGAACTTTATCCAGAAGGCAATGAAGAACCACTGAAGGATTTTAACCTGAAAAATGGAATTTTCAGTGTTTCATTTTATAAATAAATATTTTCACGACAGAATAGAGGATGTGTTCAGGGAAGGTTTGAGGTGAGAAAGAAGGAAGGAAGAAAGAAAAGAAGAAAAATTGTTTAGGGCATTAGTAGTAAGTGGGATGAGGCACTATTAGATCCTGAATGAAGATAGTAAGTGTGGGAATAGAGAAGAGTAGACAGATAAGGGAGATATTAAAGTGGAATAGATGAGATTAGTTTGGGGCATGTTGTGTTCCGTATGCCTGGGAGAGTGTCCAGTAAGTAGTTGGCTGTGTTGTCCAAGAGATCTGGACAACAGAGCCAACTGGAGCGGCTGATTTGACCATATGTGAGAGTGCTCTAAGTGGTAATCCAACCCAACTGTTATCAGTTTTCCTTTCATTTCCAGTGACTAATACATATTAGGTGATCAGTAAATATTTGCTGAATTGATATTACTGTGGCTACAGCTTTTACCCTTGGTCTCGTCTGTTCCTGCTTTGAAAAACATGATTATCTATCTAATTTTACTCAGCAGTAGGCAACTTTGGGCCAGGTGGTGCTGGCCTAAGCAACGTTTAATTCACAAATGGCTTCTTGATGACAGACCACTACTTATCACTTGAGCAGACTGGTATAAAATTGGCTCTTACTTGATTATCTTAGGTATTTTCCTGGTTATTAATCAGCCTTCTCAGTTGTGACAAAATTATTTGGAGAAGCCATGAAGTGCCTCTCCATGTGAGTGGGAGAAGATATGCTATTCACAGCGCTAGAGCTAGCATATAGCAATTTGAGAAAGCCTGTTTGTTTATTACCAGCTGGTCTATTTTTGGGCAGCTCCATAGCAGCTTGTCTGACTCAAAAGAAATGGTGAGATAAGTGCCCTAGAAAGTAGTACAGTGTGTTAATAACATAACAACAAACTCATTCTAGTGTCCTCCAGGCCCTAGCCTATTATAGGTGCTCAGGTAATGTTGAATTAAGTGAATCTAATGGTAGTTGACAATTACAGAATTTACATGCTTTCATATATATTATTGTATTTGATCTTCAGAACGCTGTGAGCCAAACCAAGTATTACTCTCATTTTAAACATGAGGAAATTCATATACCCTTAGCAAGAGTAGTTTATGTATCTCTGATACATCTGCAGACAGAGACAGTTTCTCTTGTCATCTCTCAATTCCACCTTTTCATGTCCTAAGTAATATTCATGATAAGTCAGTGAAAGACCTGCCTAATGTGAGTTCAACTTGTACCACTTTGAGATGCTCTTGAGTTGACTGTTTCTAGAAGTAAGGTTGGTCTGGAGTTCTGGCAGTGCATCTTTTCTTACCTTTCTTGGCCACTGGTTTATATTCATCAAAATGTAGGCTGTTTTACAACTTAAGAAACAACAGCGATTTTTTAAGAAGTGTGATATGTGTAGTGTGATATGAGCACTAAAATGTGTAAGCTGCTCCAAGCGTACATCATCTACTCCAGGAACACCTTTTTAAAAGAGTCCTTTTCTGTTAAGTTCCTTTATGGCATGCATGTAATATGGTAAATTGATCTTACCAAAATTTCAGACCTAAGTGGCTTATGTACAGCTCTCTGGTGAGCACATGCAGATTTTCCTGACATTTGGCTTCTGTTAGATTGTTCATTTCTCAAATGGTTCCTATTCTTTTCCTAATAGTGTGAATTCCTACTTTTCTTCCACCCACAGCACCTTTCTTTAAACTTTAGGAGTAGGTCTACTGTGATGTTATCTTCTCTCCACATTCTCTTGAAAGTTCTTATTTTAGATCTATTTTCCCTGTGATGTGAGGCATTTAGCCCAGGAGGGAACTCTGTGTTTCCAGGATTTATTTCTCTTAGGGGTTGGAGATACGTCATTCATCTGTGGAGAAATACTTCTCAGCTGCTCAGTTGCGTTTATTCTGTTTACAAAGAAATGTTTCACTATTTTTGATATTATAGTTAATTCTTTGACGATGATTGGATTAAGTCTGTGCTGGATGTACTCAATTTCCATATCTCTGCCAACCAAAGTCTAGATTTTAGCTTCTCCATTATGGGCCAGCATGATGATACATATGGCTTGGAGATATGTGGAATATTTTTCAATCTGATAAGACTCCTCGAGAATATGTTTTATTGACTCATAAATTGCATTGTGTCCTGTGCATAGTAATGAGTTAGGTATTTAGGAATAGTGACTCCTCTAAGTATGAAGAGTATGTGTTATACAGAGAGCACCATAGTAATACGAAGTGCTTGGTACTATGTGAGGCACATCGAAATCGTTTCTCAGATTAACCATGTTGTAGAAATATGACCAAAATGAGGTTGGAATCACTTAAGATGCTGACATGTTTAGTGAACAGTAATTCTTCCTTTTGACCACCTCAGGAGTTAAGATTCTTGGTTTATTTATTTAATTAATTAATTAATTTTATTTTTTGCCGTACGCGGGCCTCTCACTGTTGTGGCCTCTCCCGCTGCGGAGCACAGGCTCCGGACGCGCAGGCTCCGC